AAAACTCTGTCTCAAAAAAAAAAAAAAAAAATAGTAGTGTGATAAGAGTACCTGGGTACAGGGTAGGTTTACACCAGATAACAGGAAAGGCTGTTCTACAAAGCTGTCATTTTCACCAAGATCTCAGACGTGGGAAGGAGCCAGCTTTACAAACTGCTGGGGGAAAAGCATTCTAAGTAAGTACTGGGAACAACAGGTGCAAAGGGAGAATGATTAGGAGATGGAGCTTGGAGAGTTGAACAAAGGGCAGATTATGCAAAGTTCTGTAATGCCAAGTATATTAGTCAATAGACAATCAGGAAAAATCAGAAGGCCAGGTGCAGTGGCTCAGCCTGTAATTCCAGCACTTTGGGAAGCCAAGGCAGGCAGACCACTTGAGCCTGGGAGTTCAAGACCAGCCTAGCAAATACAAAAATTAGCTGGCTGTGGTAGCATACACCTGTGGTCCCAACTACTCAGGTGGCTGAGGTGGGAGAATCACTTGTGCCCAGGAGATGGAGGTTGCAGTGAACTGAGATTATGCTGCTCTTCCAGCCTGGGTGTCACAGTGAAACTCTGTCTAAAAAAAAATCAGAAATTCTTCTAGGTATTTCAAGTAGGCAGAATTTAATTTGAAGAATTGGTAACAAACATGTTGGAAGAAGTAGAGGAGCAAAAAGGAGATGAGGTTATCCAAAGACTAGTATTTACAGGAAGTCACTATCAGCCCTAAGGCTAGAAGAACAAAATGGAAAATGGTGGTAATCCCTTCCAGTTCATTCAAGAAAACGCAGGAAATGTGGAATGCAGTGGCGCGATCTTGGCTCACTGCAACCTCTGCCTCCCTGGTTCAAGCCATTCTCCTGCCTCAGCCTCCTGAGTAGCTGGGATTACAGGCCTGTGCCACCATATCCAGCTAATTTGTGTATTTTTAGTAGAGATGGGTTTTCACCATGTTGGCCAGGCTGGTCTTGAACTCCTGAGCTCAGGTGATCTGCTGGCCTCCGCCTCCCAAAATGCTGGGATTACAGGCATGAGCCAACATGCCCGACTTAATTTTGTATTTTTAGTAGAGATGGGGTTTCTCCCCATCAGGTCAGGCTGGTCTCAAACTCCTGACCTCAGGTAATCCGCCTGCCCTGGTCTCCCAAAGTGCTGGGATTACAGGCGTGAGCCACTGCACCTGGCCTATTGTGACCATTTTTAGAAAATGTAAATTGCCAAAGGCTTGCAGGTTAGAATTCATACTTCCCATGGACTTGCCAACCATCGCAGGAGAACAAGGTCTAAGCTCCCCAAGGATGACGGAGCCAAAAACACGTGTTCCTGTCTGTGCCATGCCTTACACTGTGGAGGACGCCTCCAGAAGACTCAAAAAGAGAAGTGATCTGAGGCCCAGAATGAGTCCTCAGAGAGTCCCCTGGAGAATACTCAGTGAATACATATCACATCTCTCTAGCAAGAGAACTGCAAACTGTGATGGAGTCCCATCCCATATGACACTGCATGATGAGGATAAGATATTTCTTGAGTGCGTATTTGGGAGCAGGCATTTAAACATATTTTTGTTTTTCATTTAAGCCTCCAAAAGGAAATGTATAACTTAAATGCACATCTTAAAAAAGAAAAAAGATTGAAAATTAATGAGCTAAGAATGTATCTTAATAAGTTTGGAAAAAAAAAAACACAGCAAATAAACTCAAAGTAGAGGGAAGGAAATGACAAAGAGGAGAAAAGAAATTGAAGAAACAGAAAACTAACATGCAGCAGAGCGGATCGGCCAAGCCACAGGCCGACTGTGTGAAAACTGATAAATCCCTGGTGATAATGATGAAGAGAAAGTTGAAAGAAGGCAAAAATATTCAAAGTCAGGAATGAAAAGAAGGGTGTTGCTATGGATGTTACAGGCAGTAGAAGTAAAATGAGAGGATATTGTGAATAATTTTGTGCCAATAAAATTGAAGATACATTTGAAATAGATAAATTGCTTGAACATATAGTTTACCAAAACTGACTCGCCTTGACATAGGAATCTGGATAATCCTATAACCGTTAAAGAGATGAAATCAGAAGTCAAACATGTTTCCATGAAGAAAATCTCAGGCTTCACTGGCATGTTCTAATCTTTTTTTTTTTTTTTTTTTTTTTTTTTTGAGACAGTGTTTCCCTCTGTCATCCAGGCTGGAGTGCAGTGGCGCCATCTCGGCTCACTGCAACCTCCACCTCCCAGGCTCAGCCTTCCAAGTAGCTGGGACTATAGGCACACCCCACCACGCCTGACTAATTTTTGTAATTTTTGATGAGATGGGATTTTGCCATGTTGCCTAGGCTGGTCTCAAACTCCCAGACTCAAGTGATCTGCCTGCCTCAGCTTCCCAAAGTGCTGGGATTACAGCTCTGAACCACTGTACTCAGCCAGGTTCTAATTTAAAAACACCCCAGGAGAGTATTACAATTCCCTTCTTCAGATGAGGAAAGTGGGGCTCCAAGAATTCAAGCAACCTGCCTAAGGGCTCAGAGCTAGGAAATGTCAAAGCCAAGATTTTTTTTTTTTTTTTTTTTTTTGAGACAGGGTCTGGCTCTGTGACCTAGGCTGGAGTACAGTGGCGTGATCTCAGCTCACTGCAACCTATATTTCCCAAGCTCAAGTGATCCTCCCACCTCAGCCTCCCGAGTTGCTAGGACCACAGGCACGTACCACCATGCCCAGCTAATTTTTGTATTTTTTATAGAGACAGGGTTTCATCATGTTGGCCAGGCTGGTCTCAAACTCCTGAGTTCAAGTGATCTGCTTGCCTCAGCCTCCCAAAGTGCTGGAATTACAGGAGTGAGACATCGCACCCAGCCTGAAGTCAAGATTTGAACCCTGGTTGACCTGGCTCCAAAGCCAGAAAGCTCAGCCATTATAATCCTCAGCCTCTTCTTCAAATGCTATAGCCAGTAGCATAGATGTGAGGGTGAAGGACAAGGCCGTGGTCCAGAAGCCCCAGGGACAAGTATCTGATATGTCCACTTGGAGAAGAAGGAACTTGGAGATTATCACCAGGACCCTACTCTGCCATCCATCAAGACCTATTCAAATGCTGCCACTGCTTCTCTGTCGAGCACCATACACCCTGCCTGGAGCTCCCATAGCTGCCCCAGCCCCCATCACTTTTAAATGCCCATAGCATGATCTCTGGGCCTCTCCTATATATTGTCTGGTATGTAACATTCTCACCAAAGTTTTCCAGCCTTAGAAATGCATGACTCCCTGAAAATACAGGTCTCGGTTCGAGAAAGCTGGACTGAAAAGTTAAATGCTAGGCTGGGCATGGTGGCTTACATGTAATCCCAGCACTTTGGGAGGCAAACGGGGGAGGATCACTTGAGCCCATGAGTTTGAGACCAGCCTGGTAAACATAGGGAGACACTGTCTCTAAAAAAAAAGTTAAATGCTGGCACTGCAGCAGATCACTGGGTCTCTGAAAACTGTAAGGCAACTACCACCGTCTTCTAGACCAGGGGTCTCCAACCTGGGCTGAGGACTGATAGCAGTCCCTGGCCTATTAGGAAGTGGGCTGCACAGCAGGAGGTGAGCGGTGGGTGAGCGAGCATTACCGCCTGAGCTCTGCCTCCCGTCAGACCATGGTGGCATTAGATTCTTTTCTTTTTTTGAAACGGAGTTTTGCTCTGTCGCCCAGGCTGGAATGCAGTGGTACACGATCTCAGCTCACTAACCTCCACCTCCCAGGTTCAAGCAATTCTCCTGCCTCAGCCTCCCGAGCAGCTGGGATCACAGGCACCCACCATCACAGCCAGCTAATTTTTTGTATTTTTAGTAGAGATGGGATCTTACGATGTTGGCCAGGCTGGTCTCGAACTCCTGATCTCGTGATCCGCCTGCCTTGGCCTCCCAAAGTGCAGTTATTACTGGTGTGACCCACCACTCCCGACTGGAAGTAGATTTTCTAAGGAGCGCAAAGTCTGTTGTGAACTGCACACACGAGGGATCTAGGTTGTGCGCTCCTTATGAGACTAACACCTGAGGACAGTTTCATCCCAAAACCATCCCCTCCGTCTGTGGAAAAATTGTCTTCCACGAAACCAGTCCCTGATGCCAAAAAAGTTGGGGACCGCTGTTCTAGACCACCCAGAATATGTTCTTGCTAAAAGTTATTTTAAGATTTTCACTAAAATAAAAACTAAAAATTTAAATATTCTCATGGTAAAATTTGTGGTCCCTGAAGATAGATTTTATAACTAGCATGAACTGCTCTACACATAACGTAGCATTTCATTCTCTCTTGAAATCAAAATTAAATCCAGTTTAAGTTCTGTGGAATGCTAGATTTTGCTTCCATCTCTTCACCCCACCCTGGAAAATAGGTTTATCCATCCACATTCTTTACCTGGTAACTTTGAGCAGGGTGGATTTCTCCATACCTTGCTTCGGCTCAGCCATGTGACTTGCCATCGCCAGCAGTATTTTTGCAGATGTGATGTGAGCAGAGGTTTAAAATGGGCGTGCACATTGGGACTGTCGCTGGGGTGCTTCTGCCATCTCCATGAACACCCCCTGGCTGGCCTGCTGGTCATGAAAGGAGGATGAGAGACATGTAGAGAGGTGCTAAACCATGCCAGCCAAAGCTGGCCTATAGCAACGAACCCCCAGCTGGTCCCCAAACATATGCACTAAATAAATGCTTACTGTTGTATGCTGCTAAAATTTTGTGATTGTTCTACAGCACTAATTACTGTGGCCATGGTTAACTGGTACAAGTCCCTTCTGACCGAGATTACCAGGTCCTTCAGTACTGGCCCTTGGCTGTGGCCAGTTGCCACAGCTAATATGTCCGGCCTGGCTGTGAAGCATATCCGCAAGTAGGGGGTGTAGCCCTATCTCCTCTGTGACAAGTCCAGCCATGGTGTCCTTTGAGAACAAAGGCTCCCAAAACTATAGCCCTTTATGCTCAGCCCTCATAGGCATACATGGCCCTCAGGGAAATCTGCCTGGGTTTGATTCTTGGATCCATAGCCTTAGGAAGTTCGTTTAATCTTGCTTTGCCTTATCTGTCAAATGGAAACAATAATAGTACCTACTTCACAGTGTTCTTGTGAGAAATAAGTGAATAAGTACAATATGCTTAACGCAGTGCCTGCTGGCGCTTGGTAAGTACACACTAAATGCTGGCTATTATTGTTATCACACATTCGGTCATCCAAATATTCTTCCTCCTAGGTCCTCCCATCTCAGAAGATGCATCCTCATGAGTGCAGGTTTCTGCCACCGATAGAATTCATACCTTCATTTGCTTTCTAGTCTTGAGAGTTCCAATTAACCCTCTTTAGTTGAGACCATCCTGTTTTAATGTGGGAAGCATTAAGCCTTCCATCCTTATCTTTGTTTAAAAAATCTGTTTAGGGCCGGGCGCGGTGGCTCAAGCCTGTAATCCCAGCACTTTGGGAGGCCGAGGCTGGTGGATCACGAGGTCAAGAGATCGAGACCATCCTGGTCAACATGGTGAAACCCCGTCTCTACTAAAAATACAAAAAATTAGCTGGGCATGGTGGTGCGTGCCTGTAATCCCAGCT